GTAAGCCAACAAAAATTCAAAAACAAACCCTAGAATTTGAAAGGGCGGTAAATGGAAGAAGCAGAGGAATGGAACTTGCCTGTTTGTGGAATTCCAAACGAGAGGAGTGAAAAGCCTCAACAACAAAAAATAAGAAAAACAAAAGGGTTTTAGGGATTTGAGGGGCAGAAACCATAGGGGAGGAAGGACTACGAAATCGGGGAAGAACACAAAGTATCAGAGTACGACTTAATTTCTCTATTGCCACTGATTTTGTGATTCACTCTTGAACATGGTTGTTATTTTGGTCAACTTTAGGGTCATTTTTCATGAATTAAATTACAGAAATGCCCTTATATTTTCATCGATTTACAATTTTAAGTATAACATGTCCATGAGTCAGATCGGGTCTCGGATTTTTTTTCTCTTCCAATATTGACCCGAACACGTTGGATATAGAGATGTTTATAGATCATAATTAGAAAATATCTTATTTATTTTTTAATTTAATCAAATTTAAATTAATTTATTATTTGATAGAGTTGAAAGATCAGAGTAAATAAAATTAAGTTGATAATATATATTTTATTTTTACACACATAACGAAAAATGATATCTTTACTTTCTTTCTTTCTCCTATTTTTCTACTAAATACACTCGAAATTTTTCTTTTACTTTTCTCTTCTCGATTTCAATTTTTTCATTTTTCACTCAACCAAATAAAGTCAATGCACAATGATAAATATATGTGTTTAAATGATATAATATATATTTAAATTTTGGATATGATATTATTATTTTTTGAATAGTAATGATTAACTATAATATATTATTTATTCAAAATTTGTTTTAGTTATTGACAACGTACACATAATTTACAATCGTAATTATTTGAATTTGAGACTTCTAAAGAGAACAACACTTATTTTAACCTTTGAGACCTCTCAATAATTATCTAATACAATGTTATTAAAAGTGTTAGTTATGAATCTCAATTATAAAATTATTATTTTAAATGAGATCAAGTTTTAGGGTTTAATAGTTTCGTTGGTGTTTATCATGTACGAAATTATAATCCTTAACCAAAGTTTTAATTTTTTTAAATGAGTCCTTACTAAAAACAACGGTCATCGTGAACCGTCAAAACTAATTATTTCCCCTCAAAATTCACATTTCACTATAATTCGAATAAATAAATTTGGTGTTATCACCACATCGTATAATATATATATATATATATATATATATTATGAAAGGGGTAATTTAGAAAGAAAGAAAAAAAACAGATGAAGGGGTAAATTAGAAAATAAAAAAAAGATGGAAGGAAATAATTGAGGGTAATTTTGGTAATAAATTATTTGAGGGCAGTAGTGAGAAACGAAAACCAGTGTAGGTGTACGAGGGGTAATTGTGGCAAACAAAATTAATTGAAGGGCAATTGTGGCAAAAGCACTAAATATTTTCTACAAGGAAACTTAATTTGTTATAGAGACGTGAATTTACTTGCGTTTTTTCCGAAAAATCAATTATACCCTATATATTTTTCTGTCATGCATTCTTCAGGCTATTTTTTTTGATCTAACACCTTTTGCAGTAAGGCGCGTCCCTTACAGCGCGTTTTACGTTGATATGGAGCCACGTGGATAAGGCTAACTCCTTAAAACGCGTTTTATGCTGACTTGAGATACACGTGTGTAAAGAGCGGCCCCTGCGGTACGCCTTACCTTTAAATCTAACACGCGTCCTTATGTTTAATTACCTACCTACCCGCCCGTTCACACCCTCACCCCTCCCTATAAATACTCTCATTCTCAATCACTTTCATCACATCAAATCCTCTCAACTTCTCTCAAATACTCTTATATTCTCTTATAATTGTTTAAGGTATATTTTATTATATTTTATTTTTATTTTTTTATTTTTTTATTTAAGTATTTAATTTTTTAATATTTTATTTAATTAATTTTTTTTGTAGATATAAAATAGAAGGCGATCTACTTCGCTTGGATGAAAATAATGTATCGCGACATAAGACGCGCTTTAGACACGTGTGTCCATGGAGCACGCCTTACCCCACGTGGCGTCAGATTAGCGTAAAGTACGTTGTAGGGTGCGCACCTTACTGCAAAGATGTTAGATCGAAAAAAATAGTCTGAATAGTGACTGACAAGGAAACATATAGGGTATAGGTGATTTTTCGGGAAAAACTACGAATTTACTAATTTATCCTTATTTTAGAATATTAATTAATATTATGAGTAAAGTACATAAATGATCATCCGACTATAGAATGATATATTAACGAGTCCCAACTTGACTATTGAAGTTAAAAAAATTATCTTTGTCTATAATGTACTATTTTGTTGAGTCTTTTGACAATTAAAACTTATAATATAGTCATCTAATTATTTATATGTTACAGATTAATCCATTTTCATTAAAAAATTGACAATTGTCTACGCTAAACTTTAATTTACTCACTAAAATATGATAAAATTTAATTTCATAACAGTTTGAGCTACATTTTGTTAATCAAATCTTTATTTACGTTATGTTGTCAAACCAGTGTTTAATATTATGTCATCGAGCTAGTGTTTGAAAACAATGATTATGTCAATAGATATTATTGAAATATGATTTTATCATTTACTAGTCAACAAGTTAACATCCAGCTCAAACGATCATCAGTTTTTTAACGAAAAATGACGAGTTTATAATATAAGAGTAATTAAGTGATCATTTTATAACTTTAAATAATCGATAAACTCAGCAAAACAATAATATATAATAAATGATCATTCATGTACTATACCCTAATATTATTATAACATTAGTTTTATCTTTTTCGCACTTTTAAACAGTATTTATATAAATAATTTAAAATCATACATCTAATAACCAAATCTACGTTTAATATATATATATATATATATATTATCACATCATCTATAATTATTTTTTCTTTTCTTCCTTTCATTTTCTCCTTTCTTTATTTATTCTTCTCCTTCTTCTCTCCTTTTACTCTCTATTTGTATCCTCACCAGGTACAAACGCATATTTTAACCATCACGTCAATCTTCTTTTTGACCACCGCCGATCATCGTAATCAAAATTCAATGACCCTACAAATTTCATATCAAAAATATCTCATCATTCTAAATACCAATACAGTGACTATTTAATCGGGAAACACCCCAAATTTCATAGATTTAGGGTTTCTCTTATTTATGAACTAGAGTTCTTAATTACTTTTTATTTTTATTTGTTGTTGTAGATTATGTTAGTCTTGTGGTAGTTTTGCTAGATTATAACCCCTTTTTATAGAAAAATCAGCCTATTCAATCGTTGCCGACAGCTTCTGATGCTTCCTCTGCTTCATCGGAGCGTAAAAGACTACTCTATTTGGAGATTATTGAGTCTCGAATCCCCTATTTCAAGACTATTATCAGGATTCTGTGTGGTCCTGCTAATTCTCCATCTGTTCAAAAAATTTCCAGTATTCGATTCCTAAACCACCACTTCTTTCATACTGTTTTAACTAATTAACAATCACTCGTTCATTTTATCTCTCCATTTATTTTTTTATTAAAGAGATTAGTTAGATTGCTATGCAAACATTTCTAATTGCTATGGAATTTCTCAACCAAATCACGGTCGATTCAACTAAAGCTTTACTGACAGGAACATGTATATAAGTCTGGATGTTCTGCAAAAAGTTTCAGCAAATTAAAAATAAATAATAATTATTTTTTGCTTACATGGCAGTTTAAAAATCAATAAAAAATATCACGTCACCACAATGTTAGAGAGAGAAATATAGAATGATAAAAAAATCAATGTTCAGAATTAAGTGAATAAATTGAAAAGTTTTAAATTTTAGTGATCAAAATAAAAGTGATAAAATAGTTTGATTGGTGAATGATGTAGCTTACCCTAAACAATTAATTACTTTATAAAAATCAAAATTTTAAATCTCGAATAAATTGAACTGAATATATTCATTCACCTGATTCTATTTTTTATTTTTATTTTTCATATAACATTATATTTATATTACACATAAAAATATTAAATAAAAATAGGATTTGACTCAATAGTCAATATAAACAATTAACATTTATTTAACAATAAGGGGGTGTTTGGTTTAAGGAATGTGGGATTCCCATGGGATGGGAATCCCACATTCCCATGTTTGGTTGACCGGGAATCTCATTCCCGGTAATGTTTTATTACCAATAGTAGATTTTTTGGGGTATATTACCGGGAATGTCATTACCTCCCTTCCCTTAGGTATTGTAACATTACCGGCGTTTTGGACTAAAATGCCCTTAAATTTTTATTTTTTTTCAAAAATATCATTCTTCTGTCATTGAATAATAAAAATTCTACGAATGTTAAATTACAAATTTATCCTTAAATTATTTTAGATTTACAAAAAAAGTCTATAATTAAAATTTTATATGAAGTTTAGGGGTTAAATTTTTTTTACCCTTTCATTAAACATTTTTTATATTTTTAATTTTGTAAAAAAATTATATAAATATTATGAATTTAATTTTTTAAAGAAAATATATAAATATTTTACAATTTGTAATATTATACAAATATATATAATAAGGACAATTTGGTCAAATATACATTCCAATAATCTTTTATTCCTTTGACCAAACACGGTAATCTTACATTCCTGCTAAACCAACCAAACACAAAATACAACATTCCCAGTAATCCTATTCCCTGGTAATCTTTTATTCCCACTGGTAATCTTACATTCCGTGAACCAAACGCACCCTAAAGGTAATCACAGTGCTTGCCGGTTAAGGCATTAATCCCTCCCAAAGTCATATATCACGTTCAAATCACGTGATTTCAATCTGATCCGCCACGTAAGCCCGACATATATAACTTTTTTCCGTGCTTTTGATTTTCAAATTTAAATTATTTTCCCGCTCATTTCACTCTCTTCATTTGACAAAATCGCTTACGCCAAAATTTATCTCTCAGAGACTCACTACTTTCTTCTTCTTTCAAAAAGCTCCCAGAAAAATCTTCTTCCCAAAATACCCTCACTCCCTCTCTCAATTTTCAAATCCGAACCCTAACAGCCTCAGCATGAACCAATATCACATTTACGAAGCCATTGGTCGTGGCAAATATTCGGTAAAATCATCTCATTTCTCTCAGATTTCGCCAAAAAAATTTTGGTGCTGATTATGTTCGGTTTTGATGCATTTTCCTCTAATTAATCTCATTTTTTGGTAGACTGTGTATAAAGGAAGGAAGAAGAAGACGATTGAGTATTTCGCAATCAAAAGCGTGGAGAAATCACAGAGGAACAAAGTTCTTCAAGAAGTAACATCGACTTTCCTTTTTGAATTTATTGATACGATTTGAGTGATCAATTACTAATATTGAAAATTTGGATGCCATGATTTGATTTTAGCTTGTAATTTTATTCGGCATGATCTTTACAGATGTTAGAGCCGTCTCTTTTTTTTTCAATTGAATATCATGAGATAATATGGTAATCTTGATATTCATGTTTAGTTCACATCGGAGCAAATTTCATCTAGAAATAACTTCGACATTATTAATGCTTGATCTGATTTGAGTGACTAATTACTCTTATTGAAAATTAAGATGCTTTTTTTTGTAACTTTAGCTTGTGGTTTTACTATGCATGATCTTTATAGAAGTGAGAGCTGTTTCTTTTATTAATTTATTTTTAGTTCGGTGTGATATTTGATATGTTTTAATAATCACAATAATAATGCTTAATTACTAATATAATGCAATTTTTGCTCCTATTTTACTACAACAACAACAACAAAACCCTATTCCCATATGCAATGGGGTAAGGAGGAGGTGGGGTAGTAGGTTGCCCCCAACGCCATGTTGAGAGCAGCTTACGTGGAAGACCTCCGGCAGTAAGAAAATTAAAAATAAAGATAAAATACAATGCATGGATAAATAAGTCAATAAATACATAGTTGAAATAGTTGAACAATTTTCATATGATGTCTTCATATGCGCGTCTGTAATTTGAAGTAATCCCTGCAAATAAATCTCTGCGTGAAAATCTCTGCTTATAGACAGAAACGTAAGTCCTGGCTAAATTTAAAAGAGGAAACATGAAGAGAAGGATAAACAGAAGTCAGCGATAGCAAGCTGCGATAAGGAATAAAGTTAAAATGGTTAAAACCTAAACTAAGGTAACACTACTCCGCCACCCTAATTCTAAGCCTACATAAATTTCAATGACAGAAACATATAAAAAGTAGAATTCATTGAAATTACTACAAAGGCATTAAAAAAAGAAGACTGAGATGCCCACACTACTCAACTACCCTGGTCTTAAGTCTTCATACTTTCCTATCGGTGGTCATGTCCTCGGTAAGGGCTAAATCCTTCAAATTAGATCTCAAGCAGTCTACCCACTTCCTCCTTAGTCGTCCTCTCCTTCTGGCACTGTCGACTGTTATCGACTCTACCCTCCTGTCCGCATCCGACGGTTGTCGCCTAAGAACATGCCTAAACCACCGTAGTCTTCCCTCCCTCAATTTTTCGGTTACAGGCACCACCCCTAAAGACCTCCTAATTGCAGAGTTTGGTGTCATGTCCCACAAAGTCCTACCACATGCCCATCGAAGCATTCTCATTTCTGCGGCCTCCATCCTCCTTAAGTGATCCTTCTTGATTGCCCAACATTCTGATCTATACAGCAACGTTGATCTTATTGCCATTCTATAAAATTTTCCCTTAAGTTTTAGAGGCATCTTCTTGTCACACAAAACTCCAGTTGCAGCCCTCCACTTTAGCCATCCCGCCTTTATACGGTGTGTAACGTCGTCATCTACACCCCATCTTTATGTATCATATTGATCCTTAGACCTTTTTCTTCCAAGGCAGTCTTCCAGGTAGCCAGTCTACCATTCAGCTCAGTTTTTGTTTCAGCAACTAGGACAATGTCGTCAGCGAAAAGCATACACCATGGAACACCGCCTGGAGTCGCACAATAGACGTCGTCCATAATCAAGGCGAAGATGTAAGGGCTAAGAGCCGACCCCTGGTGGAGTCCGATTTCCACCGGGAAAGTCTCGATGTCGCCAACTGTAGTCCTGACGTATGTAGAAGATCTACAGTACATATCACGAATCACCCGGATATAAGCAGTTGGGATCCGTCTCGTTTCCAAGGTCTTCCAGATCGTATTGCGGGGAACGCTATCATACGCCTTCTCAAGATCAATGAACGCCATGTGAAGATCTCTATTTTTTTCCCTATATTTTTCCATAAGCCGTCGAAGTAGATGAATCGCCTCCGTAGTAGACCTGCCTGGCATAAAGCCAAATTGGTTTTCCGAAACCCTAGTAATCAGTCTCAACCTAGCCTCTATCACCCTTTCCCATAGCTTCATGGTATGACTGAGTAGTTTAATATCTCTATAGTTACCACAACGTTGAGGATCTCCTTTATTCTTATAGATTGATATCACCGTAGACTCTCTCCAATCCTCTGGCATCTTGGCGGTCTCTAAAATAATATTAAAGATATTGGTCAACCTCTTAACTCCATCTTCTCCTAGGGCCAACCACACAGTGATAAGAATTTGATCTGGACCGACAGCTTTGTCCCTCCCCATCTTTCTAAGAGCCATTTTGACTTCCTCAATCCCAATCCTACTTGTAGGGCAGTCATTGGCCGTAGTATGATGGTCGGCTGATCCATTAACGGTACTATCTCTACAGGGAGAGGCATCATCATTAAATAATCCGAAGAAGTAACTACCCCAAATCCTCTTAATATCATGATCTTTCACTAAAAGAACACCATTTTTGTCCTTAATAAACCTAATGCTGCTTAGATCCTTTTTCATTCTCCCTGGATTTTGCAAGCCTGAAGATGTCGTTTTATCCTTCCTTGGTGTCTAATCTCTTGTACATTTCCTCGTATGCCTTATCATTTGCTTTAGCCACTGTTTTCTTGGCTTCCCGCTTTGCCTCCTTGTATCTATGTTTAGCTCTCGATTCTTCTTCGTCGTCATTGCATTGTAGAAACTTCTTGAAGCAAGTTTGTTTTGTCTTCAGCTTAGTTACCACGATTCTTTATGTTCCTTGCTCCTATTTTACTGATTTTTGCATTTCCTTTTTCAGGTTAGGATACTTCACTCTTTAAATGATCTGAATATACTAAAGTTTTACTCATGGTATGCTTATTTTCCAATTTAGATATGTATTTCTATTTTTTTTTTGGCATATTTTGAAATTTTCTCATTTTTTGTCACTTGTTTATCAAGGTACGAAACTTCTGCACATTTATGGTTAGTTTTGGAATTCTGTACCGGTGGTGATCTCATGACCTTGTTACGGCAGGTACTTATAGGTTATATCTTTTTCATTTGTGTGAAATTTTATTGGTCAAATTCACTGTATCAGATTCAAGGATCCCGAACTTGAGTATGCTTGTTTGAAACATACGTTTGAGTTTCATTATCAATATTTTTATTTACGGGTTGCAGGATGGTAAGCTACCAGAAGATTCAATTCATTTCTTGGCCTATGATCTTGTGAAAGCGTTGCAGTAAGAATATATGTTATGTTCAATTTCTGTCATTTTCTTTTTGAATTTTTTTCTAGAAGATCCTTGGAAGGTTATATGCTCATACTCATGTCCGTTAACCGGATTAATATAGCTTTTGCGAGTTACTAATGGAAAATTTTGTTTTTTTTATTAGGTATTTACATTCAAAAGGAATCATTTACTGTGATTTAAAACCATCGAACATACTTTTGGATGAGAATGGGCATATTAAGGTACCTATCCGCTATAACTTTTTAATAAGATTAAGTTTCTATCATCCTTTTAACTTGTATGTTTGCGTGATGCAGTTATGTGACTTTGCACTTGCAAGAAAGTTGACTGATATATCTAAAACGCCATCTTCCATGGTAAGTTCTTGTAACAACTGTGATACACTGTGCAACGTAGGCATGAAATAAATTGCCAATTGAATCAATTTCATTTTTTTAATTTTCACCCTTTTTTCTCGTTTCTAAGTTGTTCGTTTTCTGTTTTGTATGGTTTAGCTGCCACAAGCTAAACGTGGAACACCCTGTTATATGGCTCCTGAATTGTTTGAGGATGGAGGTGTCCATTCTTATGCATCTGATTTTTGGGCCCTAGGTTGTGTGCTATACGAGTGTTATGCAGGAAAGCCTCCATTTGTTGGCAGGGAATTCACTCAACTTGTAAAATCCATCATCTCAGATCCACCTCCTCCACTCCCAGGAAGTCCTAGCCCTTCTTTTGTCAATATTGTTAATTCTCTTCTGATTAAAGACCCTGCTGAGAGAATAAAGTGGTCTGAGCTTTGCGTGCATGCCTTTTGGAGGACTAAATTTTCTCAAGTACCTTTACCCCCTCAGCCTGCATTTGAAAGCATGATTGAGTTGTATGCTAAACCATGTCTCTCTGAGCGTAATGGTGATAGATCTTCTCAAAGCAAAACCCCTCCTAAAATTAGGGAAAAAGATTCCAAAGGAGCTTCAAGGAAAGATGATAATTCTCTTGTAGGTTCAAGAGCCCATGAGACACCAATTAAAGATACTCCTGTTGGCCGTAAAACTCAAACAAAGGCTTCCGGTAGAGGAGTGGAGGAGAAGCATAAGCGTGTGAACCTCATGAGATTATCTAGAATAGCCAAAACAAACCTACAGAAGGAGAATGAGAAGGAAAATTACCGGAGGCCCATTCTGAATAGCTCTGAGAATGAAGCTGAAGTTAAAATTGAGAACACTGATATGGAACTTGATTTTGATGAAAACACTGAAGAGGAAGTGAATGATGATCCAGAAGGGTCAGATGTCCCCGCTTGTACGACTGAAGAAAAAATTTCAAGCCAGAATCAGCAACAGCTCAAAGTAGAGGATGGGGATAATAACATTGAGCGAGCAGCCATCCAAGATGGGAGTGATTTGCCTGCCTCAGATCAGTCAAAAATTTATGATCAAGAATCATCTTCAGATCATGTTGAAGTGGCTGCTACCCCCCCGAGTGTCAGTTCCCAGCAAAGAAACCAGAGAATTAAGGAAAGTCCAGGGGTTGTCCTTGAGTCTGATTGGTCAAAAATATCCAATAATATCTCCCAAGTTCTCTGGCATCCTTCTGATCTTTCTGTAAGACCTGTAATGCCAAGCAGAAAAGCTGATAAAATGTCAGAGGTACATCCTTCACTACCATTTGAGGCTATGCAACCACCTGATTTTGTAAGAGTGTCAAAAGAAAAATTGGATGCACTCAACAGTAGGATCATAGCAATACTTGGTGGGAGTACTGGCATTGGTGAGAAGCAAAGTGTGATTAGATACCTTGAGATGCTTAGTAATAACGCAGATGCAGCCAATATCTTGACTAATGGTCCAATAATGCTCATGGTTGTCAAAATGCTAAGGCAGTCCAAGACTTCAGCTTTGCGTGTACAACTTGCTTCTCTGATCGGCTTGCTGATCCGACATTCTACTTTTATCAAAGAGGACTTGGCGAATTCAGGAATTTTAGGTGCGCTTACTGATGGTCTTAGAGACAGGCAAGAAAAAGTGAGAAGGTTTTCTATGGCTGCTTTAGGTGAATTACTGTTCTATATTTCCACTCTAAATGAGCAAGCAAGAGATAACAATCCATTTGAATCACCATCAAAAGACAACAAGCCTGTATCTGGCTGGCAGGTCTGTTTCATATGCCATTGCTCTAGCTTTTTAGAAAATAAATCTAATAAGTGGAATCTTGAATTTTAATGACGTTGCTTTCGATGTTTCCATGATTTAAGGCAGTCAGAAACTGCCACAATACAGTATTAATAGGCAGTCTTGGAGTCTTGAATCTGATGCTTTAAAGAGAATTGTTGCTCACTTGCATGTGAAATACTGTAATGCGACTTTCTCCCCTTATTGGTAGGTCCCAAATTCATTGATTTCATTGGTGTCATCAGTCTTACGTAAAGGAGAGGATGACATGACTCAGCTTTACGCGCTTAGGACAATTGAAAACATTTGCAGTCAAGGAGGATATTGGGCAGCTCGTTTTACCAGCCAGGATGTAATCAACAACCTGTGTTACATTTATAAGGCTGCCGGGAAGCAGGAGAGCATGAGGCTAACTGCAGGGTCTTGTTTGGTCCGCCTTGTTCGTTTCAATCCCCATATCATTCAATCAGTTACAGATAAACTTTCACTCAAGGATATTGCATCTGCTCTTGTCAAGGGCAGTCTGCGTGAGCAGCAAATCAGCTTAAATCTTCTAAATGTGGTTATGCTTGGAAGCCATTCCTTCTCAAACATAGGAAGGTACCTTCAACAGTTGGCAGAGGACAAGAATCTGGTGCCTAATCTTATGTCTCTCATTGAACAAGGAAGTGAAGTCTTGCGGGGCAAAGCACTTGTTTCGGTGGCTCTTCTTTGCAAGAATGGTAAGAGATGGTTACTGCAATTCTTTTGCAATTCAAGGTTACTCCCCACAGTGGACAGGTTGGCAAAAGAGAAGGATAACTATCTACAGCAGTGCCTAAATTCATTTCTCAATGAAGTGGCATCTACGGTTCCCACCTTATTGGATGGTATAACCGGAGATATCCAGCAAATGATGGGAGGAAGACGACACGGGCAGATCTCTGCCCTTACCAATCGCGCTGCTCCGAAGAACAATATTCACTTGTTCCCTGTAGTTCTTCATCTTCTCGAGAGCTCATCGTTTAAGAACAGATTGGTGACTCATCAGGTCTTGCGGCAGTTGGCGAATCTTATCCAAGTTGTTGAGACACCATTTCAGGTATGCAGTATTATCTCAGCCATCCTTTTGATGTTATCATTGAACTTTTGAGAGCATTTGCTTCATTTTTGTTTGCAAAATCAAGATATGGTGCAAGTAGAATATAATAATCGGTGCACATAATGCAATTATTTGAGTTTTTCAATTATTTTGAAGTTCATATCTCTATATTTATGTCTGAATACACATGAATATCGGAAACAGACATTGAATTCGGATACTTAAAGGAAAATAGTGTACGAATCAACATAGGCCAACTATGTGTTAATTTTTTTCCAAAGATTCATATTCTAATATAGGCCATCTTTTTCGTTCACCAGGGACGGGACGATTTCCAAATAACATTGTTACGAGTTCTGGAATCTATACCTGAGGAATCTCCCGTCATTCTTGAAAGCTCTAATATTTTCATTCAAGGAATTCTCCCTAGCCTTGCTGTTCTTTACAAGGGAAACAAAGATGGAAATGCCAGATTTTTGTGCCTGAAAATCATGTTCGATGTGATGATGATCTTCTTGAACGAACCATCATTAACCGATCAAAGTTCAAAGGATCTGAAATTGGTCTCTAATTCTCATTTTCTTCCACTCTACCCCACCTTGATTGAAGATGAAGATCCTATTCCCATGTATGCACAGAAGCTTCTAGTGATGCTAATCGAGTTCGATTATATCAAAATCTCCGACATTTTATATCCGAAAATGGTCTCAAAATGTTTCGGATTTTTGCTTGGCGATCTAACGAATACAAATGTAAACAATGTCAAACTTTGTTTAGCATTGGCTTCTGCTCCAGAGATGGATTCCAAGTTACTTTCGGAGCTAAAGGTGGTTCGAAAAATCGGTAATCTGTTGGAATTCGTAAATGCAAAGGACATGGAAGACTTCCTTGAGCCAACTCTTGGCTTGTTCAAAGCTTTCCTTCTCCGCTCTATCGGAAATGGTTTTGTTTATACGAAGGAACCCGCACCACTACTCGATGGTTCGTTGCAGAAGGGTGGCTCGGTTGATCAACAGCAATGCATTAGAGATATAATGGACTTTGGATGCAATGTTGGAGTGTTGTTGGAGTTAAGTGCATATCCTGAACCACACATTGCTGATGTAGCCTCTGAATGTGTTGTCTTGTTGCTCAAGGCAGCTCCGAGGGAAGCCACGAGCGGGTTCCTAACTAATCTTTTGAAGGCCGGTTCGGTCCTTGAGTCGTGTCGGGGAAACGGAAATTCTCACTTGCTCTTGAAGAGGTTACTGCACGCAATTGGTTATGCTTGTAGGCAGTACTTATCGCAGGCTATGATATTAACGATATCGGCAGCTGAGATTACACGGATTCAATGCATAATTTCTGAGTTGAAAAGCTCAAGTATACCTGGATTGGCTAATGTTACTTCCTTGGTTCTCTCGGAGTTGCAGCGGCTGCCGCGGTGCATTTGAACTTCTTTTCAGGTACATCTCCAAATAGCTCGTAATGTAACTATCTTCTAATAATCGTTTGGATCAATAAACTTTCAAAACATACAAAATGGTCATTAAATTTTTAACAAGTTATATTTTAAAGTTATAATTAAATTTTATGAAACTTTTACAATTATTATAATATCGTCGCATTGACCATCTCGTAATAATTGATAAATTTAATAATTATTTTGTGATTTTTAAAAGTTCAATGATCAAAATGATTCTTTTAATAAAATTTGTAAACACGGATTCATAGATTTTGTTGCAGGCATTTTCGATAGGCCATGGAGGATGTCTGATGGAGCTCTGGTGTAGATGATCCATGTTTGAGAGGTGAGTTTCTATTGTTAAAGTCCAGCTTTTATCATGTAACTATGTAAACCATGCATGCTTCTCATCTTTATCACAATTGATACAAGTATCATGTATTCAATTTATCTTTATCTTCATTGCTTTCCTTTTATCCATTACTCAAACCGATAGCATGCAAGTGTGCAACTTCACCACCTTGTATGGTAGTCACTTATAGGCCCGTACTGACTGTAACTTAATATTAAATAGTTTAAATTATATTCCGATCAAAATTTTAATTTATTTCGATTAGTTTTGGTCTTATCAATGTGTAACATCCCGATTTGGTTGGTATTAGAATTTAATATTTTAGTAGATTTTTATATTTTGTATAATTTCATTTATAAATAAAATATTTTAATTAAATGAAATTATTAAGTTGATTAAATGATTATATATATATATAGTTGAGGCTCATATTAACCCTAAATTAGTGTTAAATAGTTTCCAATTCGGTCAAAATTGTAATGTATTTTAACCCATTTCAGTCGATCTGAATCTTATCAATGTCTATCATCTCAATCTGTTTTGTATTAGAATTTGATACTTTTTATAATAACTGTCTTGATTATTTTTATTTTTTGTACAATTATATTAATAAATATAATTAATTAACTTAGTTAATAATTTTATGATTTATATTCTGATATAAATTTATTTATATGTATATAGTTAAGGTAGATTTGTATTATAATATATAAATATTTAAACTAATACCTACCTTGTTACTTTCAAGAAACATTTGTAGTATATTTTCATATTGTTTTTTAATTATTAACAATGTAAATATATTTTTTAGATGCATCTACTCAAGTTTATAATCTTTAAAAAAGATAAAATTTATTTTAACCATTAAAAATGAGTTAAGTTTAAGAGAATATTAATTAATAAATTCTGTCAAAATAAGATATTTTGGCCTTAAATATGCATATTTGATTTAAGTTCCCTAAAGACCGGACTGACAAACATAAATTTTTCTTATCCAGATCCTGTTTAAACTGTTCTGGAATCGAAAATAACATTTTATATAAAACTAAAATATTTTTAAAAGATGATTTTTATATTTTCATATCAATATTTATACATTTTATCCCGAAATTTAACTAAAAACATTTTATAACATTATAATAAACCAAACAGTTAAGTCAAGAACACAATCTCACTATTGACAACAGTTACATGAAATGCAATCAAATGATAAACAGCTAATGCTGGACAAAATTGCTGCTATAATCAATCTGGCAAAACACTCATATATATTAACAACTTAAGCTTCACACTGAAACCCGACTTTTGAGCCGGTTTCAGTACGATTTTACTACCTGCTACTAGAGGTGCACAAAAAATCCGAATATCCGATTTTGCCTAAAATATATCCGAAACCGGATTTTGGAAAAACCGGTTTTTTTTAAACCGGATCGGATATTTAAAAACCGGATAGTATAACCGATTTGGGAAAAAATTGAACGACCGATTTTTTTACCGGATTAAAAATCGGTTTTTTTCAAACCGGATAAAAAACCGGTTTTTTTCAAACCGGATAAAAAACCGGTTTTTTTCAAACCGGATAAAAAACTGATTTTTTATTCGAAAAAAAATCCGGGTTTTTAAAAAAACTGGATTTTTATCCGAAAAAATCCGATTTTTAAAAAAAAACCGATTTTTTTGCAAACCGAAACCGGTTACACCGGTTACACCATCCGGCCCTCCAAACCGGTTAGAATCCGATCTGGTTTTTTTAAAATCCGGTTTTTGGGTTGGGGAAAAAAACCGGATCGGTTTTTATCCGATCCGGATTGGATTGAAATCCGGCTTCTGTGCATCTCTACCTGCTATAGACCGGCTTAGAGTTCCTCGTTCACTGCCATTGATGACCATTTTGTTCAGTTGGTGACCCGGGAACAAAGGGTACAAAACCCCTTCCGCCGAATACCGGTCGCATGAAGGCGTCGTCTAATTTTCTGCAATAGTAGTGCACGGTGTGGGAAGGAGTGGTCAAGAGCATTCTTAAGCTGCTTGGTCGGAGTATGTTTCGTTTTCCTTGGCCTACCTCGGATTCTTGCCCGTTGTCAAGGAATGGCACAATGAATGATTTAGGAGTAGATGGTTCAGATGAAAGAATTCTGGTGAGATTTTTCGGTGAAGGAAGCAGGATCCTTATTAATGGTTTAGTCATCAATCCGAAAACCTGCATAGTGGTAACGAACATATTTTACATAGGAATCATGGAGTTGTCACGAAAAAATGTTGAAAATAATAAAATACAAGAGAGTTTTAAATATTTTAAACTGTTTTATTGTTTTTCTCTAATTGCACACTTTAGACTACTAATCATTATCTATATTAATTTATTGATTATTAGGAAAAAAATTAAATAACATTTTAGGGAGATTCTACCAACCCAAAACCCAGCTTAAGTTTTGGGTGAAATGTATACTCGACTGGACACAAATAGATTATTCACAAATTCATTATTTTAAAATAAAATAAAAACCTAATAGGAAAAAAATTACATATATAAAGATATTAATGTAATTATTTCTAAATACATGAGAAATAATTATATTATTTCTAAATACATGAGAAATAATTATATTATTCTCTCAGTGTAAGATCTTCACTTTAAATCCAAATTTGACTCGACTTTATCCTTTAAAAATTCTCACCGGTCCAACCAGAATTTGAATTTTCAAAAAATATTGAACTTATATAATTAGATTAAGTCAGAACTCATCAACTGTTAATATCATGTCTATTGCTACTTACAGACGTATCATTCGGGAAACAGTGATTTTGGGAAAAGGTTGAAAGGCACGACGATAAAGGTAAGAGGCCTTAATTAAGCTTTACCGAAGAATTAAAACGAAGACTTGTGTCTTACCACTGTGCTGAAAAGAACAACTGTGATTGTGCTGGTTATCATCAGTGCATTTCTTTGCAATTGAGTATGACCAAAACCCCTTATCCCATTATATATGGGAATAAGGGTCAGCTATTTTTTTTTTTTTGAATATGACAAAAACTGGTAAACTGCAAATACATATATTAAACTCTTCATCATTACATAAAGGAAAGCCAAAAATGTGCAATTCTACGAAAGTTTACAACATTTTCGTCAGCAAATTATCTCGACTAGGCATACTAAATTAACCCGCAAGGATGGATATTTGATCCAAACTTGATGGATTTAGACTTGACCCAATGGAGGTTGTTTTCCTTTTTCGTTATATAAAAATTCAGGTTAATCTCAAGTCATGTAGGAATTTTTTTAAAATAGAGTCACGTTAAGATTGAGTTTAGAGATAAAACTTGACTCGATATAATATTATAATTATTTTTTATATATTTAAAGATAATTATAATAATATTCTTCTTTATTTTATTTTTTTCAATTAGGTTTTTATTTTAACTAATAAAAAAATTATATATATATAAATATTTGGTCATGTGCATATGCAAGTTGTATCCTAAAAATCTAGTTGAATATTATATCAAGCATAGATAAAAGAATTTAATTTTCGAATTAAGTTCGAGTGAGTGAAAAACCTGACCCATGACCATCCTATTAATCAATACGCAAACCATGGCTAGAACCATCAAATAAATATCAGTTGAATATTTTTGTATAGAATCTAACTTATATACAAGTATAAACTAGTTAAAATCCTTATACCTGATTATAAGCAAGTGCGATCGATACAGCACCGCGCATAAGACCGGCCCACCAAATGGTAACCTGGAAAATAGATGTTCACAAATAGGTATAAATTTATCAAACTCGGGCCTACTAGAGATGCAACTTACAATGGTTTAAAACTCATACCTGCTGTTTGAATCCAATTTTCTCATATTGAGCTTTCTTCGTCAAGTTGGATACGAACGACAAGGGGAAAACAAAGGCTGCTCTACCAACAAGAATCAATCCCAGCAGTATCGAACTCACCCCAACCGATTTTCCGGGGCTGAGAAAAAAAAGAGTTATGTAAACTTGTGATAGACAAAACTGAACTGTAAGTCATTGGTAAGATAAAAAAACGGTGTATAATTGGCCACACGTATCACTAATAACTCTCCACTTCTCAACGTCCAAAGCATCCATGCCAACATAGAGGAAGATAAAGATCTCAGCAACAAATGACAGAGTAGCAAAAGCATGCCTGAAAGAATAATTGGGAGTGATGAGATACAATAACACCAAAGGTTGGATACAATTCAAAATAACGAGAAATTATTTCATGAATCCTTTTCACCACGTCATTTATGGTCTCAACCGGTAAAAATCACCAATTTCACCTTTTTTTCTCTAAAATGACATGGGGGAAAAAGAATGAGATGGATGATTTTTAGTAGTTGAATAGATATTGAAGACTGAACATACTTTGTTGTAACTCTTGAACTTTCCGTAACGTTATGCCACGTGTAGTGAGACATAACAATCCCGCAAAAGAATACCGTAAGAATCGCACTTAAATAGAAAAGCTGCAAGACCAACATTGTCATTAGATTAGATTGCTTTTTTTTCTTGGTAAAAAAAAACTGTCATTGAAGAGGTGCCTAGCAAGGTCTAAAGATTACTTCGGCAAACATATATGAGAGGTAAGCCATGAGAATCATAATAGCAGCCTCACGATCAGTTGAATGCCTATTTTTGCAAGAAGAGAAAATATATGCTTAGGCAGATATATAGTCTAGTTGGACCGGAATAATAATAATCTGTTATTTCGACTCTTCATTTTTTTTTTGAAGCACATGAGCCTGATGCATATCTTGACATGGGCACGGGGACATGAACTTCCGGGATTCCTCCAAATATATAGAAAAACTTGGATGAAAATGAATATTTCCATGTTGGATATATACCTGTATCCGACACTCACACTCAAGTTCAAGTATTATAGACTACGGTTGAGAATGTTCAACTATTCCTCATTTTTATATATCATGAAATTAATAGACAATTCAATTTATCTCCTCAGCTAGTTAAATGAGGCGAAATTATTCACATAGGACTAGTATACAAACCTTCCAAAATAGAGCTTTTTAATAATGAAAGCATTAAGCAGTCCAGCCTGTAGAAAATAAACAAAAATGATCATAAGGAATACCAAACCATAATCAAGTATATCTTCAAACTGTGAATAGAAAGAAAGCCTCACCAAAACCCCCAGCAAAGTACTTGAGATGAACAAATACAAAAAGTTTCCCACAAATTGTAAAGCAATAGTAGTGCTGATGTTAGAAAGGTCAAAGCTCTGGATTGCATTGAAAAGAACCACTGATGTGGCATCATTAACAACTCCCTCCCCGAAAACCAGACTGTACAATAAAGGTGTTTCATCTTGATTAAGAACCTAAACAAACAAGCAGAGGATCATTCGATCGGCACAGTTTCTGTTTAACGATTGTAACCATAATCTAGATCTCTAACATACATACTTTCACAGTTCAAACATACAATACAACAATTTTGTATGAAAAAGAAAATGCCCCAATTGCTGCAGTTCAGATAGTGAGGAGAATTAGCAAAAGACTAAAACATACAATACAACAATTTTGTATGAAAAAGAGAGTGGCATGAATGTTACCAAGATAATCCCCTATCTGCAGATCCCCAATATTCATTTTCTTGAAAATCTCAATGGCACCTAGGCCACCATAAAAGAAGACAGAAAAGATATTAGGATAAAAATTAGCAATAAGTAGTTAGTATTTGTTTAACCCGAGAAATAATACCTTAATGAGATAAGGCTAATGTATTAGTAATTTAGTATGTGTGCTTGAGTGCAGGTGTGCATGTTTGTGCAGCTCAACAAGAAGTATGACCACAATCTATGGTAATCGAATTTGGGTATGAGTGTCAAATACAAGTACGGGTCTTGTCAATATTATTCAAGTTTTCCATGTTTCAAGAGTCATATCCTTTGAACCCCATGGGTCGTGTTAGACACAGGTGTCAAACAAGGATAATGAAGAGTCGGAACAGTATGTATCACACTTCTATAGAACTTATAAAATAGGTGCATCGTTTCCAAATTTTCACCAATAATATGAAAACAGTGTATTTCATGAACCATCCACCTTGAACTAACCCAATAATAAGATGAAACTTGCAAAAGTCATCTAAACACTAAACATACCAACAGATATGATGCCAAACGATATTAAAGTACCAACTGCACCAATCAGTATGATTGCCATAAAGTTGCGGAAAAATTGCTTCTTCTTCACTTGGAATCTGGTAAAACGAAAAATGTCAATCAGTGTCAATGTCCAGCGTGTTTGATGATTCTCAATTTGCTATTTTGTCGCATTTAATGCATTATTTTTATCAAATTCAAGAAAAAAATATTGTATTAATTGTATCGTGTTCATAAAGCATGACTTCTACCCGTCACTAAGTTTTATATCTCTAACAAGATCTTAAACTAAATTGAAAGTGAAAGGCCACATCCAAACCTCCCCCTCCCTCAAATAACCGTCAGTATCCAATTGATTCTTTGGTCGACTAATTCCAAATCGAATATTCAGAGTCCCATCATGAGAGAGACCCTCCCAACACAATTTTTTCTATTCACAATGTCAGATTTTGAACTCTTAACCTTCCTCAAGGGACCTAGAACCATATCCTGGTAGACCAATTAGTAATGGGTGAAGTTAATGCACTTTAAGGGAAAGAGACCAAAACTATATCATTTATTGTTCCTCATAAATTAAGTGGAGACGAACACAAATAGATATTGACCGAAAACATCAACAACTCACCCCGCATTAAAAATAATAAATGGATGTCCCTTGTTCCCATATGTAATGGGGTAAGGGGAGGTAAGATAGTAGGCTACCCCCAACACTAGGTTGAGAGCAGCTTCCATAGAAGACCTCCAAATTATGATATGCGCTCCATGAGACTCGATCCCACGACCTCAAGGTTAAGAAACCTTGTGCCCTACCCCTACCATTATAATAAATCAAAATTATGAAAATTAATGCATTTTTCTCTTTGGAAACATAATAAACACACACGCACCATATATTGATATTGATATAGATATATTATGTATGTATGTATGTGTGTATGTAAATGTGCAAAGGTACAACTTACAATGGCAAGGGCGGTAATGGACTCGTTCATCCATCGGCTTTCCTCTAGTAAATGACCGATCACAATACAACCGCAAAGAAGCGCAACGAATAAGTTCATTGAAACAACTGAGCTATGATCCGAGGCTAAAACCGAGCTTAGGATCCCGGTCGCCATGGTTACTACAAACAATCAACAACCTATTAATTTTGAAGTACGACCTAAGAGTTCAGTTTATATAATCTCGAGAGTTCGACTCTTATTATAATTCAATTTCCCTTATGTATTTGATTTGGGTCCGAAAACTCTCATTCCAGAGATCTTCCGGCTCCAGCTGCTAACCTCACTGAAAATCTGTTGAAAATTAAAAGAGAGAGTAAAAACGAGAAAAATTAAATACGGAGCTGAAGCTTGGATCAGTCGACAAACGATATAGCTCAGTTTCTTGTTTGGATGCTGAGAAACAGGACATGTAAGTGAGAGGAATCGAAAGTTGAGATTCAAAATCAATAAGTTATTAAAAACGGAAATAATTCAAATTTACAGAAATATAAACTCAAAGAAACTAAAACATAAGTTATCTAAATTTCCTTTTTCTCCTCATTTTCCAGCCAGCCAAACAAAGTTAACTCGACAGGTCAACTTGAAAGCTTTTTAAAAACAATATATATAACCAAAGAATCCAACTCACGTCAACTCGAGCTCTGAATCTCAAAAATGTAAACCAAGAATAACAGTCTTGACTAAAAAAACTCCAATCGCAAACCTCATTCGCAATAACTTAAGCAATGAAATCCCGAATCACTTAAAAAAAATGAAATATTATATTTTTATTTTTTTAAAATTGAAAAATAAATGAGTGAACCATGGAGAGAAAATACAAAAACATTACCGTTCGGGAATGTCTCAGGAAAGGCAGGTTAATATACGGTTAATATACAGTATTACCGGATACATTAAAATATATTTAATAAATTCGGTTTAGCGGTACCTATTATGTTGACAACTAATAATGTTTTAGGTAGAAAATATGAAAAACTATTAAAAAATTTGGTAACCGGTAAACTTTGGTTATCGGTAAGTATCTATCCTTTTTATAAAAGTGTCCATACTTTTAACATATCAAGTAAATTTTACCGGTTTTGTCATAATGAATCTGGTTTTGTCATATTTTTATCTGTTATATTGTAAATTATCTATCCTTTTTATAAAAGTGTCCATACTTATTTCACTGTGAAAATATATTTATTATTATCTTTAGTTAATATTGTTAAATTTAAAATCTAAATAATATTTTATAAAATATCAAAACAATCAAATAATTTTTTGTGTAAATGAAATTATTAAATTAATATTGTAGGTGGAAAACATGAAACACTATTAAAAAAATTGAAACATAAATTACATAACTTTAAAAAAAGTATATATCATTTTTATAAAAGTGTCCATACTTATAAAAGTAGGTCTAAGTCATGAAGAAATATTAAAAAATTGTGCTACCGGTTAGTGTCGATCCAAATTAAAAATGTGTCGATCCAAAACAATATAACAGGTAAAACTATGACAAAACCGGTATAGAAATGATAAAACCGGTCAAGCGCTACCGGATACATTTAAAGTGTCGGTACTTTAATATAAGGATCGACACTTCGTGAATTTAAAAGAGAAGCAGTTTTAAATCCTATAAAGTGTCGATACTTTTAAAAAATGTATCGATCCAAAACTATATACCAGGTAAAAATATGATAAAACCGGTAACAAAATGATAAAACCGGTAAAACGTTACCGGATATATTAAAAGTGTCGATACTTTATATAATGATCGACACTTTGTGAATTTTAAAGAGAAGCAGTTATAGCGCCTATAATGTGTCGATACTTTAAAAAAATATATCGATCCACAACGATATAACATGTAAAAATATGATAAAACCGATATCAAAATGATAAAACCGGTAAAATGATATCGGATATATTGAAAGTGTCGATACTTTCGTAAGTACGTGTAATAAATTATCGACACTTTCAAAGAAATAGGTAATTATCCTTTCGAAAGTATCGACACCTGACATAAAAGTATCGACACTTTTGTATTTGTATCGATTAAATATAAATAACATATCCGATGAAAATATAAAGGCCATAGCTAAATATCCTCTGAAAAAGATAGAACAGACGAGTTTTTGAAATCGAAGAGTAATTGTTGTTGCATTTCAGAAGGCGTTTCTAAAGCGAAGTTTGTTTGTTTGTTGCTGTAGTCGAATCGAAAAGTATGTTGTCGAAACCCTAATTTTTTATTATTACAGTAATCGCGATAGGGTTTTTTATGTGTTGTTTGGGGTTTTGGAGTAAGGAAGCATTTGGGACCGATTGCAGGTAGAGATAGATATTCAAGGAAAAATATAAATGTCGATACTTTTATTAAATATTATAGGTAGAAAATGATATTATAGGTTGTATAAATGTGCCGACACATTTTGGTGTGGCCATTCAAATTCTTTTGAAGAAAACCGTTTTACCACAAGAGTAGTTATCTATATTTGTATATTGAATAAAGTGTATGTAACAAAATAATTTGATTTGCGTAAACTGATGTATGAAGGAAAAATGGAGTCAATGGGTTGGAAAATTGTTGGTGGAGCAGATGACTTTGAAATTGAGGCCGAGACTCGAAAGCAACCAAAGGGTGGATATATGTACTTCTAGTAAGTATCAATGTCTTTTTGTTATTATTGTTGAAATGATAATTGGATTAAAGTATCGATAAACTTTAAATTGATTACAAATTTTAAATGTTAACAGTATGGCCGAATGCAAAAGGATGAAGGGAGATGGCACACAGAGCGGTTCGGTATGTAAAATGAAATTGACATTGAGTAGTATTAGTATTTAGTGTTAATGTATTGATTAAGAAACGTTTATGTTTAATATTAGGTGAAAAAAGATGTGAGGTCCAAATGGAATTCAATGAGTGATGCTGAAAAGGAACCTTACATCACACAGTCAAGGAATGATAGTAAAGAATACAAAGAACGGAGGAAAGCACATGAAAATAAGGTATTCCTTAAACTTGTAAATACGTTGATACAAAATATATAAGAACTATAACATTATATATTGTTAAAAAATGTAGGAAGTGTCGACAAGATGCAGCATTAAAAGGGTGAATTTATTAATTAAACACCTTAAGGAGAAGGGTCAGTTGAATGTGCTGGGAGAAATAGGTTTTGGATCGTTGATCGGAGTAAGGGATCGACCTATTCGGAGGGAATTGTGTCGATCCTTGATGGCACAATTTGACGTCAGTCAATGTATGGCTAAGTATGGTGATTATTCATTCCCTCTGGGGGTATCGACTGCTGCAGCCGTATTGGGGGTACAAAACAAAGGCAAAAGTGTTATAGAAGTCTGTAGGAGTAAGAACTGGAAAGCACTTGCCTCCAAATATGGTTTGAATCATAAGGTGACATATGCTGAAGTTGAAGAGGATATCAAAAGTGGATCTTACTGGGGGGATGAGCTGAAGGCCCGAGTTCTATTGTACCTTGTCGGGATATTTCTTTGTCCAACGGGTGATACGTCAACGAACAAGGAATATATGAAGCTCATTTGCAATGAAGGCTTGAAGGGTGAATTCAATTGGGCTGAATATATCCATTCGAGATTGATTGAATCAATAATCACCTTTAAAAAGGGCAGCCAGAGATACCTCAAAGGGTGCATAGCAATCTTAGAGGTAAATGAGTTGAATCATTTTTTTGTGTTTTTATATAAAAATATAAATTTTATTATAAATGCAGGTTGCACTGTTCGATTTTTGGTCGGGCTGTGAGGCAGTGCCGGCTTATGAAAGAACCGGAGTGGCACGCATCCGTGTATGGGGGAAGGAAGAGGTGGTTAGAGTGATGGTGAAGTTGAAGTTGGATAGAGGGAAGCCATGCATTTTGAGAATGCTGTTGTAAACTTTGGGTCACCAATGTTAGCTTGTGCATTGCGAGAAAGATGCCAAGAACATAATCTGTGCTTAGCATAAGGGATAACATATTTGATAGCCCTCTGCATTGCCCTATCCCCATCGGTTACAACGGAAATAGGTGATTTATTCATCATGGCTTCTAAAAAATTCTGTAGCACCCACTCGAAAGATTGAGACGTCTCGTCAGCGATTATGGCAGTG